TGGGATAGGGAAATTTTTTTTTGACAAAAAAATTTGGGGTTTTGGCCTCCAAGAGGGCCTTTAATGATAAATACTGAAGTTTTTTGGGGATTTCTGACTTTTTTTAAAGCAAAATTTGGGTTTAACTATATTTAGAGTTTTGATTTTTGGAAAACACCTGTATTTTTAAAAATGGATTTGGGTCTGCATTGGACTCTGAGGGGTTTGTTTTCATCTAAAAAAGGTAAATAAAATTTCAAATGGTGATTTTTTCCCTTTTTTTGGATCCCTGTCCTTTTTAAAAAAAAAAACGGTTGACCTTTTAAACAAATATGTTTTTTTTCCTTTTTTTTTCCAGAACGTCATGAAGCCTTTGAATTTTTTTGGGTTTTGGCGAGACGCTCAAAGGGGTTGTTTTTCTCATTAAAAGCCAGCGAACACTTTTTGCGGGGATAAATAACAAGAAAAATAAAACTTTTTGATTTAAGAGGTAATTAAAATTTTAAATTTACTTTTTTTTTCTGCCCAATTTTTCCCCGATTTCCAGCTTCTGCTCACGATCTTTTGAGCCTGTTGTAATACAGTATGGGGTTTTAAATTTTGGGGGGGGAGTCTTTTGTGCCCAGTTTCCGTCAATAATGTTTTAAGGGTTTTTTTCCCCGTGAAGGAATATTTCTGAAACATTAGTGATGGAAATAAGGATAAAACCTTTGAATTTACCTGAAACTTTACAAAAGATACATTCCTACACTGGTCACTTTATTTTGTTGGAAGATTTGAGGCCCCCCTTTTCCCGATTAACCCCCTTTTCCCCGGTCCCAAAGGGCCCAAATTTTTAAAGTTCACACCCGGGTCCAAGAATTTTTCCCAAAAAATAATTTTGTTAATTTTTTTTTAAGAAAAAGGTAAGAATCTTTTTGAGGGTAAAAAAAAAAAAGTTTCAAAATTTTTTTGGAAAAAAGCGAAATTAAAGCTCTCGGGGAATTTTTATGTGTCACAATATTTACGCAACGGCATTTTTCTGATTTTGGGCCCCCCATTTTTGGGGCCCAAATTTCAGTGGGCCCCCAAAAATCCCAAAAATATTACATATCGAAAGTTTTTAAAAAAAGGACCATTTTTTTTTTGGGCAAACTAGCCCTATTATCGAGCGCGGGCCCCCATTTTTCCCGGGCCGCAGGGTACGGGGCCTGTCTGCCGGCCCCTCTGTCCACTTCCCCGCCAGGCGCCGTGAGCATTTTTAGCTTTTTTTAAGCTTGGGTGAACACTAACCGCGCTCTCCATTCACGCAATTTTTTTCGATTTTTTTTCGTTGTGTTTAAATGCTTGTGGGACTGTGAAATAAAAATGCCCTGGGCCCAAAAAAACTTTCTATTGGGACCCCTGTGGGAAAGAAAGTGAAAACACCATAGATGTGAAGAAGGAAATAATACAGAAGTATTGAGAAATGGGGGTGAGACTTGTTTGACTTACCAGGTGTATGGGGAAAAAAAAGTCGACCATTTGGTTCCCATACTTTCAAAGAAAAACAAAACAAGGAAGCTGATGTTTTCCCAAAAAGGTTTTTAATAAAGGAAATGGGTGGGTGCCTTCTTTAAAGAAAAAGGAGAATTTGGCCCGGGGGAAGATGTCCCCAAAAATTTTTGGGGGAATTTCCACCCTGTCAAACTGAAACAACCACTTTTTTAAAAAGTTCAGTGACAGAACCATGTCCCCCTTTTTGGGGAAAAGTTAAAGACCACCAGAAAAAAGGGGGACGTGGAAAAGTTATTTTTTTTAGACATGGGGCCATGACTCCCCAACTGGGCCTAAATGGCATTAAAAGACAGAGAAGGGAAGTAACCCAAGAGGGCTTTAAATTGAAGTCCTCGGAGGGGATTTTCCTTCCCAAAAACTAACCCCAAATCCCCTCTTCTCCTCCTCCCTATCCCTTCCCGATGCCCCTCACCCAAACTTCAAAAAAGGTAATAAAAATGTTAAAATTTTTTATGGGTTTTCCCATACCCTAATTAAAAACTATATATTTGTTGTATTTTAAAAATGTAATTAATCCCTATAAAATGTTTTTTTTTTGTGAATTTTTTGGGTTTCTGGGAAAAGATTAATTTTATTTACATTTTTTCTTTTTGGAAATATTGCTTCGAATTTCAAGGGCTTTTCGAATTTGGAACTAGCTCCTGGAACGGGTTAATTCGATTTTAAAGTTCCCCCTGTACATTATTTTCCCTTCCCACCAATTCTTTAGCATTTTCACCCCAGTATTACTTCTGTTCTATGATTGAGCACAAGAAATCTCCAATCAGCTTTTCAAAATACCAAAAAAAAGGGTTTGGAAATTGGGAATTTGGGCCCAAATTTTAAAGCAAAATTCAAAAATTCCCGTTTTTAAAAAAAGGGTTCAGAATAAACAATGCAGGCATTTTTTTGGGACTAAACTAACATTTTTCCTTTTTTCATTAGTTTTTTTTTCAGGGTTTAAAAAAAATGAATTCCATTTTGATTTTTAAAATTTCCCCAAAAATGAAATTTTTTTTTCAAAACCCCCAAAAGAGAAGAATTTACTGCCCTGCAGTACTAAATACAGGGGGAAACCCCCGCAAAAAAGATGGCACACATTTGCGTTTTTTTTCCCGCATACCGCTTACTTTAAAACGCAAAATTTTTGGGGCCCCCATACCATTTTAAAAACCCCCTCACCCCCATTTCGTCCGAGACGCGTCCCCAAAGTGCCCTCACAAATTTTCCCCCGTTTTTCCCCTTTTTAAAAAACCCGCCAGCCTCCGCGTAACAAACCCAAAATTAAAACTCGGAATATTTCGTATTATTAATGGTTTTTTTGGTGTTTTTTTCTGGAAAATAAGTGACCATGGGCCCCCCAAAAAAGCTTCTAGTGCCAAACCCTGTGGGGAAAAAGGGTTTAGAATTAGTATGGAAATTTAAAAAAGATTTCGAAGGGTTTTGGGGGTAACCCTGAAAGCCCATTCCAGTTTTTTTAAAACCATTTTTGGGCCAAATTTTAAAGAAAATTTAAAGGAAAAGTGTTCAAGGGGTTTAACTGCAAAAACCCTTTTTAGAGAAAATCACCCTGACACAGCTGTTGCAAGCCGTGCCCGGTTTACTATTTCAATGACAATGTTTGGCCCTTTTAACAAAAAAAAAAGGAACCGGGGGGTACAGAGCTCTATGGACAGATTTGTTTGGGGGCGAAAAAGAGGTCCAAGGGCCCCTCAACGGTCCTAGTGGCATTAAAAAAGAAAGGAAGTAACCCCGGAAAAAGGGCTTGCAAACCCCAAGTCGTAAAGGGAAGGGATTCCCCCTTTTAAACAGTAAGAAGATAATGCTCTCCCCTCCTCCCAACCCCTCAATCACACCCAAACTTTTAAAAAAAGTAAGTTTTCAAATTAAAAGTGCATGCCTTTTTCAGTTTTTGTTTAAAAAAAATTAACCCTTTCATGTGGTAAAAAAAAAATTTTTTTTTATACTTTTTTGGGGGTCTTGGGAAAGGATTAATTTTTTTTTCCATTATTTCTTATGGGGAAAAAAAAATTCGCATAACGATTATTTCGCATAACAATTATCCCTCTTTTCACGGGTTAAAAAACGTTAACCGGGGGGGCCCTGTAATTGTATAAATAATAAACAGCACCAATTTTTAACGTATATTAGATCCACCCGCTGGTGTGTATTAGAGTTTTAAGTCATTTGTTTAAATCTTGAACATCGGGAAAAATTAAAAAATTTTTTGCTACTTTTGACTCAGTTTCCCCGGGCCCTTTTTCCCTACTAAAACCAATTTAAATCATCTTAAAATTTTTGTAATAAAAGTTTCCATTCCCCTTTAAATAAAAACCCAAAAAAATTTCAAATAAAAAAAAAAAACTTTTGAAAAAGCACAAAAAAATCGCCCGTTTTTAAACGAAAAAAACGGTCCCCAGTTTTTTTTTCCCCCCTCCTTATTGGGACTTTGGCGGGATTTGTTTTATGTGGTGCAAAACAACCAACAGATGTTTCTCCATATCTAGCCCAAATTTTTTCCCCCTCACCCCCTTAACGATTTAGCTGAGCTCCCGGCCTTAAAATCTCGGTTTTTTTACCCCCCCAAAGTAAAAGGGCCCAGATCTACGGCACGGGCCCTGAAAAGGGGTTTAAAAGTCCCCCGATCCCTTTTTTTGGCATAACTAGGGAAGATTTTGCTTTTTCAAAAAATTTTTGTAATTTTTGGGAAAAACTTTTGGATATGGCTTAAATTTTAGCTAAAAAAACTTAGGATTGTTTTAAATTGCTTTTGGGTATTTGCAAAAATTTTAAATAGTAGGTTTGGGAGGGCAACAACCACCAGGGAGGTACTACCATTCGCCAACTGAGTGGAAACAGAAACCTTCCCCATAAACCAAATTTAAATAACAGACCCCCATTTTGCTAAAATTTTTGCTTTTTACCCTTTGTTACACTCCCCATTCCTATTCGTATATGTATGCACACCCATCTAAGTTTTCTTTCCATTTTTTAAATAGTTTTTGTTCCCTTTTTTTCTTTTCAAATTAGAAGGTTTTAAAAGAAACCTCCCCCTGTAAGCCATTCAAATTTTATAAAGGGAACTAAAATACCAGGAGCAAGGGGCTATAAAACCCTTTTTTTTGTATAAATTAACAAAAATAAAAGGGAAGGGAAAAATTTTGATTTTTTTTTTTTTTTTTTTTTTACCCTTGCCTTGGTGGGGGATAGAAAACCCCGGGGTTTAAAAATTTTTCTACATAAAATAAATTAATCCCGATAGCAGCAAATCAGTATTTAAGAAGTTTTGAATTTTATAATGACAGCACTGAATTTAAAAACAAAATTTGAAAATTTTAAGTTAAAAACACTGAATAACCAAATTTTTAATGCTTTGGGGAATCACATTCTGTTCCCCAACTAACATATCCTTGCAAAAGCTGCCTTTCTTTTTTGTCACAAGCACTGAGATAAAAATATTGTATTTTTAGTGTTTTTGAGCACTGTACAAGTAATATTTGTTTCAGGTGTTGCATTTTTTTTTTCAGAAGGTAAATTATGTGCCACAGCTAACACCAAAGCTGTGTATGGAATCTGCGCTGATGTCCACAATGAACATCGCTTGGCTTCATTTTCTGAGAATCAGGTTAGTTGGCTCTTTAAATTACAGCAGACTGTTGATTAACATGCAAATCTATTAACATATTTTCAACATTTTTACACGACTGAAAAGTTGCAGCATATTTTTTATGAGCACACTGTATTATCATTGAGCACAGAGTAAATTTAGAGGAAAATAAAGTAGGGTTCTGATTATATGGCGGGTTAAGTTCCTGGCAGAAATCGCTATAAAGTGAATTGATTTTGTTTAGTTTTAACCTTTGACTGTTTCAACCGTATATATACGTCTTACAAGCCAGTGTTTTGGATGTATATATACTCAGTACAGTGGACCCTCGAGTAACGATGCCATCGGATAGTGATAAAATCGGATATTGATGCATCTTTGCATAAAAATATTGGTTCGGCCAACAATGAAAAACTCGTTATGGACATTCGTCCCAAAGCGTCCACACAGGGCCTTGGCTGCCCGCTGCTGCCTGACCACTATGTATAGCCAGTGTGCCATTGTTTACAAGCCAGGGTGGCTTGTAAACAAATGGCAAAATGTATTGCATTCATGCGATACATTTTGTATCATTCCAGTGTTTTTAGTGCTTGTAACTGCTAAATAAGCCACCATGGGAACAAAGAAAGCTTCTAGTGAGAACCCTGTGGTAAAAAGGGTAAGAAATACTATCGAATTGAAGAAAGAGATAATTGCAAAGTATGAAAGTGGAGTGCGTGCCTCCGAGGTGGCCCGGTTGTATAACAAACCCCAATCAACCATTGCTACTATTTTGGCCAACAGAAAGGCAATCAAGGAAGCTGTTGTTGCAAAAGGTGCAAGTATGCTTACAAAACAGAAATCGCAAATACTCGAAGATGTGGAGAGACTGTTATTGGTGTGGATCAACGACAAACAATTATCAGGAGATAGTGTTTCACAGTCAGTCATGCGTGAAAAGGCAAGGCAGTTGCATGCGGATCTCATTAAGAAAATGCCTGGAACTAGTGCTGATGTTAGTGAATTTAAGGCCAGCAAAGGTTGGTTTGAGAGATTTAACCCTTTCAGGGTCCAGAGGCCAAATTTCAAAGGGTGCACCAGTGTCCAAGAATTTTCAAAAAATTTTTTTTTTTCCTTATGAAATGGTAGAGAATCTTTTTCTGAAGGTAATAAAACAAAAAGTACGAAATTTGATGGAAAATTGACGAAATTATGCTCTCGCGAATTTTGATGTGTCAGCGATATTTACGAATCGGCAATTTTGCCAGCTTTGACTCCGATTTTAGGCCAATTACATGATTCCAGTCGACTAAATTCTTAGCTATTTCACTAGTATTACTTCTATTTTATCAATTAAGCACAAGAAATTTCCCAGTCAACTGTTTCAACTACAAAATAAAGTGATCGGAAATTGGTAATTTGGCCAATTTAACACAAACTTCAAAATATTCCAATTTCAAAATAGGGTCAAGAATAAACAATGCAGGCATTCCTGGCTCTAAACTACCATTCCCTCTGTTCATTAGTTATGTTTTAAGGCTTTACAAATGAATTCCATTTTGATTTGTTATTCACATAATGAATTTTTATTCAAACCAAAAAATAAAACATTTACTGTTATGCAATATTGTAATAACTGTATAAATATCATCATCACATTTGTGAATGTATATTAGACCCACCAGCTGGCATGTATTAGACGTGTGAGGTCGTTTGTTTACTCTTGAACATCAACAAAAATTTAACATTTCCGCTACTTTGAGCTCAGTTTCAAGCCATTTTCAGTACTAAAACCAATCAAAATCATCTCTACTTCTGTAATATATCTTCCATTCTATCAAATGAGACCAAAAAATCTCAAATACAACTATAAAAAACATACGAAAAAACACTGCAAAGTCACTGTTTTAATCGAAAATCTCGGTCTCGGTTTTTTCTCTCATTATACACTGTGTGCTGCAGGATTTGTTTTATGTGGTGCACACATACCGCATAGATGTATTCTCTCATATCTAGGCCCAAATGGCGTAGACCTACGGTTTGGACCCTGAATGTAAAGCCGTAGATCTACGGGACGGACCCTGAAAGGGTTGAGAATTGTAGAGGCATACACAGTGTGATAAGGCATGGTGAGGCTGCCAGTTCTGACCAAAAAGCGGCTGAAAAATATGTGCAGGACTTTAAGGAGTACATAGAGGCTGAAAAATTAAAACCCCAACGTGTTCAGTTGTGACGAAACAGACCTGTTTTGGAAGAAAATGCCGAACAGGACTTTCATTACTCAGGAGGAAAAATCACTTTTAGGACACAAGCCTATGAAAGACAGGCTAACTTTCATGTTTTGTAATAATGCTAGTGGAGATTGCAAAGTGAAGCCTTTACTCGTGTATAACTCTGAAACTCCCGGTGTGTTCAAGAAAAATAGTGTCATCAAGGCTAATTTGTGTGTGATCTGGAGGGCAAACAGTAAGGCATGGGTCACTAGGGACATTTCCCATGATTGGTTCTATCATGTGTTGGGCCCCACTGTGAAAAAATACCTCCTGGAAAATAAATTGAACCTCAAGTGCCTCCTGGTATTAGACAATGCTCCTGCTCATCCTCCAGACTTGCAAGAGCGAATTGTTGGGGAGTTGAGTTTCATAAAAGTTAAATTTTTACCCCCTAACACCACTCCTCTCCTCCAGCCCATGGACCAGTAGGTCATTTCAAATTTCAAAAAACTGTACACCAAAGCAGTGTTTCAAAAGTGCTTTGAAGTGACCTCAGACACTGATTTGACCCTAAGAGAGTTTCGGAAAGATCACTTTAGTATCCTCAGTTGCATAAACCTTATAGTATTTGGGTTGGAGGTTAGTGGCGAGGATGTGGAAGAGTTGGTGGAGGACGACGATGAAGAACTAACCACTGATGATCATCTGCAACAGCAAAAGACCATAACCGAGGAAATTGCTTCAAAGGAGGGGGAAGAGAGAGAGAGAGGAAGTTGCCTTCTTCAACAATTAAGGACATTTATGGATGAATGTCACCCTGACACAGCTGTTGCAAGCCATGCTGGTGACTTTTACAATGACAATGTTGTGTCCCATTTTAGGGAAATCTTAAAGGCACGCCACAAACAAAGCTCTATGGACAGATTTTTGGTGCGACAGAGGTCCAGTGACTGTCAAGTTTTTCCCAGTGGCATTAAAAAACAAAGATGGGAAATAACCCCAGAAAAGGACTTGCTACCTAAAGTCCTTATGGAAGGGGATTTCCCTTCCAAACAATAATAGGAAACCTCCATCATCTCCCCTCCTCCCATCTCATCACTCGTCAAAAATCTTCAATAAAGGTGTCATTTATTCTTCATGTTTTTATTCTTCATGTCTCATTGCTTTCTGTGTAGGAAAATGTATACAGTAGGGCCCCACTTATACGGCAGGTTAGGTTCCAGGCTGTTGCCGGAAAGCAGATATTGCTGGAAGGCAGAAAGCCATTTTTTCCATTTATAAATGCATTTATAAATGTCCATGGGGAAGTGGAAAAGAATCTTTCCTCCGTAAGCCATGCGTGTCGTATGAGGCGACTAAAATGCCGGGAGCAATGGGCTAGTAACCCCTTCTCCTGTAGACATTTACTAAAAAAGAGATGAAGAAAAACTTTATAAAACTGGGATGCTTAAATGTGCGTGGATGTAGTGCGGATGACAAGAAACAGATGATTGCTGATGTTATGAATGAAAAGAAGTTGGATGTCCTGGCCCTAAGCGAAACAAAGCGAAGGGGGTAGGAGAGTTTCAGTGGGGGAAATAAATGGGGTTAAATCTGGAGTATCTAGAGAGTTAGAGCAAAGGAAGGGGTAGCAGTAATGTTAAATGATCAGTTATGGGAAGGAGAAAAGAGAATATGAATGTGTAAATTTAAGAATTAAAGTGGATTAAAGTAAAGGTTGGATGCGAGAAAGTGGTCATAAAAAAGCGTGTATGCACCTGGAGAAGAGAGGGAAAGCAGAGGAGAGAGAGAGATTTTGGGGGGATGTTAAGTGAATGTATAGGAGCCTTTGAACCAAGTGAGAGAGTTAAAATTGTGGTAGGGGGCCTGAATGCAAAGTAGGAGAAACTTTTAGAGAGGGTGTGGAGGTAAGTTTGGGTGCCAGGTGTAAATGATAATGGAGCCCTTTGATTGAACTTTGTAAGAAAGGGGTTTAGTTATAGGTAATACATATTTTAAGAAAAAGAGGATAAATAAGTATACAAATATGATTAGGCGAAATACAGTAGTTTGTGGTTTATGTATTGGAAATAAAAACTTTTGAGTAACTTCGGTGGTACATGTTTATGAGGGGCCCGATAACAGATCATTTCTATTTGTCCCCTGAGAGCAAAAGGTAGGGGATAAAAGGGAGAATAGAACATCGGGGAAAGAGAGGGAAGGTTTTATAAACAAAAAGAGGAGGCATTGGGGTAGATATAAACCTATTGGAGGATAGATGGGTAATGGAGCATAGGCAATGGGGTCGAAGAGGTATGGGGGGGTTAAAAGTTGGGTTTTTAGAGTGTTCAGCAGAAGTTTGTGGTTACAGGAAAGTGGGTGCGGGAGGGAAGAGGAGCGATTGGTGGAATGTGTGTAAGGATAGTAAGGGAGAAAAGTTAGCATATGAGAAGTTTTTACAAAGTAGAAGTGATAAAGGGGGGAAAGTATATGGAGAAAAAGAAGGGGTTAAGAGGGGTGAAGAATGTAAAAAGAGAGAAAATAAGAGTGGGTGAGAGTTATCAACAAATTTTGTTGAAAAAAAGAAAAAGTTTTGGAGGAGATTAAGAATTAAAAAAAGCCTAAGAAAAAAGGGAAATTTGTCATTTAAAAATAGGAGAGAAGTATTAAATGGAGATTTAGAGGTTTTGGGGAAGAGGGGGAAATTTTGGGGAATTGTAAATTTTGATGAAATAGGGAAGCTGTGATTTCGGTATGGGGCAAGGGGAGGAAAAACACTTGTAGGAGTGAGGAAGAGCCATTTGTGAGTGTGGGGGAAGTTGGAGGCAGTAGAAAATGAAAGGGGAA